AAGGTTTTTTCATTAAAATTAAACATAATTAAAATCAAACTGGTGATTGAAGAACCACAAAGACAACCAACCATCAATGAAAATATTTATAATAACTGAGAACAAGTGTAAAGTGAATAAGTATGAGTGTGTCTACCACATTTTATAAAACCATTTCCATCTTTTGCATTGTTTGAAAGCATAAAAATTCAACATCTCTTTATCGTCCATCCAAGTTTCATTAGAGAAAATATTAAAAAGATACATAATTCTTTGCGGTACAGAAAGATAAGTTCGTCCTACGCAATATTAACCACATCCCATATTTTCCTTCTCAAACCATTGATCAGGTTGATGTAATTCAATGATGCGAATGTGACCACACATTTTTCTCATTTCTCGATTACGTGCAAAATTGCAAAATTCTATTGCTTTTAATTCCTCTCTATTCAAATCTTTTTGTGAAAATTCTCCTTTTGGCATCAAATATTTTTCTAGTCATCGAAGCAGATAAAAATTTATTGTTTAACTGAATTCTGAGAATTTCTGAACCTGAAGAGCCCTTTTCTCTCGCATCTATAGACGCCGTTGCCATAACTATATCCACAACTATATGATATCAACTATAGCATTCACAACAAATCCTCTGTCACTGTATTTCGAATTCTGTAGACTGCCCACGAAAGAATATTTACACCGGCCAAACAGGCCGATTCCTTGTCCTCGATTTCAGAATATTAAGTCACAAATTTCAAGCATTTCGTGACATCTACAGAAAGCGAAGGCATAACTAATTTCAACTGATGACCTCATTTTTTTCACTTTTAGTTTTTCATTGGTTTTGAGCATTCTAACTGATTGAACTAAAAATTTAACATTGTCCTATAATTTTTGCTACTTAGTATCTGTAGTAATAAAAACCAAATGAGATTTCAAATCCTCAATAATCTCGAATAATCGGCACAGCCATCTTTAACTGCCTTTGGAGCCATTTGAAGAAATAATGAAAAATAATATAGAAAAAATTAATTCGCAGTAGAAAAAACAATAGTAATACCTTGTTTTAACAAATACAAAAAATAGAAGATACAATTGTTTGAACAGCTGTCATAAGGGAATTATTCTTCTAACAGTGGTGATTAGACTGGCTCCACTGGCCATAGCATCTGAAAATAATACAGAAATCAGTTTATTTTTCTAAATTGCTAGAATATTTAGCTGTTTAAAATCTTTCTGACGATATCTCTCCGTTCAGCCTAAGTCTAAGCCATCCAAAGTAAGATTAGTATGTGGCAAAAATATAAGCCATAATTAAGGCTAATACAATATGTATAGGGTTATGCTTTGGCAAGTCCCAAGGAAATTTATTAATATTTATAGGCCAAAAATTTGAAGAAACGAAAAAATAAATTTTTTTTATATCTATGAAGATTCGATGCTCGGATGTGGTTGCATAGCAGACTTCTACAACGCATCATTTTTATCGCAATTAATAGTAACGAAAAACCAAAGAGATGAAATATTTTATCAAAAAAACCCACCTCCTTCTTCCTTCCTCTCCTAAAACCCTCCTCCCTCCTCTTCTTTTCTCTACTAAAACCCTCCTCCTTCCTCTTCCTTTCTCTCCTCTTTCTTCCTTTTCACTTCGCATAAAGGACCGTTAAAATGTACGAATGTACAAATCAAATATGTTTACCCTCTTAATTGGTAATTTAAAACCAAAAAAGCAATCCTCCCAGAATAATCATCAAATAATCTTTATTGGACGCAATTTCATTATTTTTGTTTTATCAAAAATTAAAAAAAAAAAAAAACCCATCAAACTGATAAAATCCAGCAAAATGCATATATGCATGCGACAAAACGTCAAAAAAGCCGAATATTAGAGATTCCAAAACTTCAGCCGACCGATATTGTTTAATTGCTTTTGTTCAAATATTTTATCTCTATAAAAATGATTTAAGCTATTCGACATTTGCGATCGCGCCTATATTCCTTGGCCAAGTTTAGTACGTTGCATTTTTTGGCCGCTTGGCATCCAAGCTAGATAACTTTACGAAATCCCGTTTCTTGGCCTGCAACATTTCTGATTAGTCTTTTTCCGCAATGTTTTGTCGCTTAGATAAATTATCACTGAGAATTATTCAGTGATAAATTGCTAGCAACGCTCGAATAACGATAAGTTTACTTCTCTCGGAGATAAAATGATTAGAACGTCTGCATTCGACGTTTAGAAATACGAATAACGACTCATCTGCGCCATTTTCCATATCTATCAAATTATAAATTTTTGAATTTCATTAATTTAATTCAATTATTATTATTATTTTTAAATTTCACTAATTTTATTTATAATTATTTTAGTTTTTATAAAAATTAATTTCATTTTTTGTTTGAAAATCATAAATTTAAAAAAAAATAAATTGTTCGGTTATTTAATTTTTTAATAAATATTTTAATAAAAAAAGATAATAAAAAGAAAAGATTTAAAAAAAATTAATTTACCAGGAATAAAATAATTTGCGAAAAAACTAAGAAGTTAGTTTAACGTAAGTGAAAACGTGGACCAGATAATCGGAAAGTGTCGCCCATAAAAATGAGACGTTTTTTGCCGATTAAATCTTTTTTCTGGAGAAAAATCCAAAAAAAATTGTTGCTAGGAAATTCATTATTCATTATTGAGTGGAATATTTATAGTTTAGATTATTATCTCGTTATGATCAAACCCCTTAGAGGAACAAACCTACCATTAAAAATCCGTGGGTCCATGTAATGAAGTTGCATTCTAGCTGCAATATCCTAATATCTTTATAATTTTCCTATTTTTAATAGCAAATAGTAAATAGCAAATAGGTAAGTAAAAACGAACGATCAGTGCTATAAATAGAAAAAAATTTCGCATTTTAATTAAATTTACTATGAATTTATAAATTTTAATTTTGTATTAATTTAATATTGATTTATTTTAATTTAATTTTAACTAATTAATTTAATTAATTTTAACTTTAATTTAATTTTATAAATTTTATTTTTTATACTTTTTATACTCATATTTTCAGAAATAATTTTTCTTTTCAATATTTTTTTTTCTTTTCTCTTTTTTCTAAGAAATTTTCAGCTTACGATTAGCTTATCTTCGTGCTGACTTGTCGAAGCGGAAATTATCAAACGAGGCTTTATTCGGAGCACCCAATGCTAAGAACCTACTCGATAAGCTAAAAAAACCTGTCTTTTAATAATACGGCTTATACTAGCGACTCATTTGCATTTCTAATGGCCAATTTTCATTTTGTAGCAAATCATAGCTTAGGCCATATTTGAATTTTCAGCTGGCTTAAATAATTGTTTGATAATTTTTCGAATTTTATTAAATGAATTTTTCCTATTGTTGGGGAAAAAAAAGTAAACAAAAAACTGTTTTATTGTATCATATTAGATCGAAAATTTTCATAATTATTTTATGATTATATTTTATAATTATTTGTAACTGTTTATAATTATAGTTTTTTAAAATTTTTTTTATAATTTTTTTTTTTTTATAAATTTTTCCTCAATTTTTTATAAATTTTTAATCGATATTCGTTTTTGTTTAGCAGATTTATTTCACTTAATCATTATCATTATTTTATTACGATTTTGTAATAATTTTATAATCGAAATAAATATATCATAAAATCTGCTAAAGATGGATGGCGAATTTTATAAAATTTTAGCTATTTTATCAAATTAAAAAATTTTGCAATATAGACCTTAGATCTTCAATATTTTTAGTCTTAAATTCATATTCATCATAAATTTCATTATAGAGAAATTTTTTAGTTTTATAATTTTTTCCTAAAAAAAATCCATAAACGAGTTAATTTTGCCAATTTTGTTGAATTAATCGTTTTATGTCGCCTATTTTATGTCGCTTATTTTTTTTAAACTCTGTTTTGTTATCATTATTAGATCGATATCACATAATTTTATCTGATAATATTTGTAGATCACTTTGTAATATTTGAATTTTATTTGAATTTCAAAACAAATGAATTAAAATATTGAAATTTATGAAAAAAAAACGCCTTATATTTGGAATTTTTCAATGAAAAAAAAAAATTGAAAATATAAATTTTTTAAATTTAAATTTTTTCATTTAAAAAAGAATCCGTTTATATATATGGCTTAGCGGTTTAGGATTCTTTCTGCTCAATCCAAGTCCTGATTGGTTCTTTTTGGCTTTCCGTCAACGCTATCCATCATAGGATTTAACAAAAAATGGCATCGATTTGTGTAATGGATTGGCAAAGAACAGCATAGCCTAACCAGCACGTTTATTCGGAGCACTGCAATTTATTGACAGTCTGGCATCCAAAACATCAAAATCGTGTCATCAGCGGAATCTGTACTGAAATGACATGAATATTCGGTCAGTACGCTCATATTCTCATCTCATTCTACCGTGATTAGAGCGCACCTTGCTGTTTTGTGCTGTCATAAGTCGCAGAGAAGGAAGGAACGAAGAATTTTTCTTAGAGACGTTTTCGATAACTTCGATAAGTTTGCCATTTGCTTGTGTTTATGCTTATTCTATTATAACAAGAAATTTACATATTATAACCAAATAGTTTCACCTGAAAGCCTTTTGAGGATTAAAATGGATCCATAGTGTACCACGTGTATTTCCTTATAACAGGTTTAGTCTTGTCGGGAGTAAGAATCGATTCATAAAACCCATCTTAAAGGATTCGCTATTCAGACAAATCTCAGTCGACCGTGAAATGCCAAAATGCAGCTTCGCGGATTTCCACGGACCTGAATTTAAATGATACAATATTTTTTTCGTTTTTTTCTTGTTCTTAATTTTTTTTATTATTTGAATTAAGGGGAAAACTTGAAAAATTAGTTTAGTTTTTATATTATTTAATATTATATAATATTATATTATTTATATTAATATTACATTATTTAATATTTATTATTATATTATTTATAATTATTTTGATTAATTTAAGGAATAAGCGAAAAGAAATCGATATCTAATGTTAATATCATTTTCCAAAACAGAAAAAAGTAAGCCAGTTTTAATCGAAGGTGGCTTTGATTATATCGTTGATCGTACGGCCGGTGAAAAAGTTTATTGGCGATGTACGCAAAGTAAAAAAAAGAAGTGTAAAGCGCGTCTACATACAACGAATAATACGATATGTCATCGTGTTGGTAATCATAGTCATTCACCGAATCCAAATATCGACGAAATACGTCAATGCCGTTCGGAAATGCGTGATTTATCTGCAACAACAACAATGCCAACGCATTTAATTGTCGCAAAATCAATAGCAACTGCATCACCAACAACATTAAGTCAATTACCACCGATTAGCGCATTAAAGCGTACAATTTGTCGACGACGTGCGAGACGATTAAATCCGCCAGCAGTAACAACAACAACAACAACAATAACATCCGTCAATGCTTCAACGCTTACAAATGATTCGCGAATTATAACTGAACGATTAGTATCAAAAGTCGATGCCGAAACGTTAACTGAAACGGATATGCAAGCAACAAGTTCGTTTTCGCTTGCATTGAAAGACGATGAAGAACTATTGCAATACGAGTCGGCGAATCAAGATTCGGATATGGCGAAGGATTTTGTGGATTTTTTAAATCGAGCCGTTACGCCATTTCATGGTTTATTTTTTAGTTCATTTTAGAATTTTCAACTATGCATATTTTGATATGTATTGAGCATCCTATACATTCAAAATATCTTTTTGGCTGCTAGTCGAATTCTTAATTGGTCCCTTCTTGCTTTTAACATCATCCATCACAAGATTTAGCAAATAGCGAGATAGCGGCAAACGCCTTAAATGCCTGAGTGGTTAAACAAAGTGTTATATAGCATTTGCTAAGAAATAAATACCGTTGGGAGAACTTATGATATCCAAGAAATATATTGAAAGACACACTATAACGCCGATTTAATTCATTTAATTTCTATTTTATAATACATTTTGTATTTTAAATATATTTTATTATATTATATTATATTTTATTATGAAGATTTTTGAGTAAAAAATTTATATATCTATGAATTTCACTTTTTTTTTTTTCAGCTGTCGATGAATGTATAGCACGTTTAAAAGCAGCTAATTTTCTTGAATTGCGCGAATCCGATGTTTGGTTAATCGAACCATTGGGAAAATATTTTGTTAATAGGTAAGAATTTTAATGATTATCTTTCGAAAAAAGAATTATAAAATATGAAAATATATTAAAAATATATAAAAAAATAGCGAATGAGCAATTAAGATATTTTTATATATTTCGCTTATATGAAGTGTCTTTGTGAAATTTCTGAGATAAATGAAAGTATGCATAACTCAGTAATAACTCAGTAATAAGCCCATAGAAATAATTTGTGGGCAAAATGTGAGAAAAGTTCACTAAGAGGAATTAAGCGGATAATATTGCTTATTAGTTGAAATTTATTTTTTATTTCAGTGTTTTTTATAATTTTTTTCAATGAAGAATATTTCTTAATTTTTTCTAAATTACTTTATCTTCCGTCTTTTTTCTTTGCATGCATTTTTTTTTGAATTTTGCTGTTTTCAAGAAACAATAGTACATTATTGGCATTTGCTGTTGGCGGAAAATATCAACCAGGTAATGGCTATTCAATTATTGCTGCACACACCGATAGTCCTTCATTACGTGTAAAATCCTTTTCCAAATTGCAGAACGAAAAATTCTTACAAGTTCAATTTTTATGGTTTTTTTTTCGACTTTTTATTTATTTTTTTGTTCTTTTATAAGTTATTTTTACTTTTTTATAAGTTTTTTAAAGCAAATATTCGATTTGCACATTTAATTTGGAAAATAAAAATAATTTCGGTTTATAGTTTTTTTTCAGGTTGGTGTGGCAGCATATGGTAAAGGATTATGGCATACATGGTTTGATCGTGATCTTAGCTTAGCAGGGCAAGTTATTGTCGGAAAGGTTCATAGAAATTTTTTTAGACCAGTGAATTTTTAAAATGATGAGAATAACTCAGTACGAATTAAGGAAAATTTATTTAATGATGATTTTTGAGTTTAGAAAATCTTTAACTGAATTTTTAGGATGATCACATTGCACGAGAATTAATTAATATATCAAGGCCTGTCTTATTTATTCCCAGTCTTGCAACAGATTTTGGCTCTTTGGCTGAATCAAACAAAAATGAATTCGAATTAAACATTGAAAAAAATTTACAACCAATTTTTGCTTCGTTAGTTGCTGAGGCTATTAATAATAAGAATGTTAGTTTTTTAATATTATAATTAATTTTGGATAAGAGCTTTGTTAATTACAAAATAGTGTAGCTTTTTACAAACTATTTTAGTTTATTATTCTTTTAGATGTATGAGGGTAGTCCGGCAATGGAATGGGGGTCTATAACGAATGATCATCATATTTCGCTTCTTAAACTGATTGCAAATGAAATTAGATGCAAGATTGAGGAGATTCTTGATTTAGACCTTTATCTTTACGATCATCAACCAGCGGTTAGTGTTTTCCGAAAAATTTGCGTAATATTATATATTTTATGTGCCAGTAAACTTAAAAACTATTTGTTAAAATAATTTATAGACTATCGGTGGAATTTATAACGAATTTATAAGTGGTCAGCGTCTTGATAATGTAGTTGGAATTTATTCTTGCATTTCTGGCTTGCTTGCTAGTATTGATTCATTGGTTAACGATGAAAATATTCGTATCGCTTTATGTTTCGACAATGAAGAAGTATTTCAAAACTCTTAATCGTTGAAATTAATTGTCAATTATTTCGAATTAGAATTCGTGATAATTCCAAAGCAATATTACATCTCGAAATGCCCGTTTTATTTCAAAAAATTTTATATGCTAAATTTTCAAGAAATTTAAGAGTGAAAGCGAATCAGCTCAAGAGGCTGGTGGACAATTTACTGAGTGGATTTTGCGAAGATTGGCGACTGGCGATTCATCAGTCGCTTTCGAGGAAGCTATTGGTAAATCATTGATAATGAATTTTAGCCAAGCACATTGCTCTCATCCAAATTATGTTGATAAATGCGAGGTATTTTTTGACAATTAATTAGAAATTAATTTATTAATTGTTAATTATATTATGTTTATGTAACAAAATTTGCGTTTTTTCTTCAACTGGTAAATCTGAAATTAAGGACCAATATGAACCTTCATTGCACGAGGGTGTTGTCGTTAAAATGAATCATAATCAGCGATATTCAACAACTGCCACCACTTTTGCTATTTTGAAGAAAATATCTCACTATGCTAATGTTCCATTGCAGGTTTGCTTTTTTTTTTAAATTTTAAGATTTTTGGAAAATTTAGAGAAAAACTTTCTTGATATTGAGTCTTGATCGGTTTCGATCTGTTCGAAGAAGGCGCTTTGTTTTTTTAACTGCAGTCGAGTACTTTTATCTTTGCTATTTTCACAATATTTGAAAACTATAGACAAATTAAATTTTGCTAAGGATTATTAGTTTAGTTTCGAAGTTCCAAATAGTCTTATTTCGAGGATCTTATGATAATTTAAAATATATTTTTCAAGAATTATGTTCGCAGTGGTGTGGAATGTGGTTCAACAATTGGTCCAATACTTTCTTCGAAATTGGGTATTCATTCTATTGATGTCGGCTGTGCTCAATTAGCAATGCATTCAATTCGAGAAATGACATGCACGTCAAGCATTTATCATGCTTTTCATTTATGTTCGGTAATTCTAAGCATTCATTTATTTCACAGATTATATTCTTAAATTGGTGTTTATTTCATTATAATCTTATATACTGCTTTGGTCTCTTTCCAATTCAATAATAAATAATTCAAGTAGATTTAGATTTAAATTTATCTGACGTCTCAATTAATTTCAGGCGTTTTATGAGAAATTGTCCACTGTCTTAGCTTCACTGCAGTAAATCTCGCCTAACTCATTAATCGCACCAAACAGTATATTTTTAATAATATTATGTTATTTATTTGACATGTAAATTAAATTAAAAAAGTATATACATTATTGAGATAAATCGACTGCATTTGAAATTTCACTATGAATAAAAAATAAATAAAAACAAGACATTGAGACATTGAGACATTTCGACATTACACAATAATCTCCGAATAGAAGTGACTCATGAAATGACGAGTAATAGAAAGAACTATTGGTATTGTACATCCAAAATCCAAAAAATATACCAGGTTATATTCTTCTATGAAAAATCACCTATCGAATCTAATATTGAATATAACCGAGCACAGCTATTAATAAAAAAAGAATTGCATGCATTTTTATTCATAGACATCTTCTCGTTCACAAATATATTTGCAAATATCTTTAGGAGTTTTCATTTTAACAGCATCTTCATCGGGTATTTCGAAACCAAATTCATTTTCTAACGATAAAATTATTTCAACATGATCGAGAGAATCGAAGCCTAGATCTTTTACGAAATCGGCATTTACTGTTAATTTATCATTTCTGTCTTGTGGAAAACGATCCCATTCACGTATTGCCTTTAGAACGCGTTCTTCCACCTAAAACTCTTTGATTTTTTCGTGATTTTATTTTTGATCTTCTCAATTATATCTTATGTCTTCATAATTTTATAATTTTTGATTTCGTTATCTTCTATGTTCAAATTTCGTGGAATAACTGCCAATTAAAATAAATAATAAAATAATATTTGTCGTATTTATAATATATAAAACAAAACAATAAAATAACTAAAAGAAACTAAACTTTAACTTTAAAGTAAATAATAATATTAAAGAAATATGAGAAATAATTAAATTGACGATTGAAATAACCACGTTAAAGTAAATAATAATCGGATTTACGCTCATAAATTGATAAAAATATTAAGGATATTTCTAACAATTATGATTTATAAATATATGAACTCCCAATCTAAAAGATTTATTCGAGGGTTGTATAGCGTAATAGAATAGTGGAGATTAATTTTAAACAAAATTTTCTTTTCCTTTCGAAACGCGAAAAAATTAAATTTATATGCAAATATCTCAGCTGAACCAATTAATATCACATTCCTTATCACTAATTCAACCCTAATTTAGGTGTGGCGAAATCCAGATTTTTTGACTTGCGATTGGGTAGATAGTGTTGCATGCTTGAATAAGAATTAATTGAATCAAATTGAAATTTGGATATAAATTTGGATCAAAAATAAAATGATAAATGCCAAGTGCCAAAATTGTCTTGTCTTTGATGTTACCTGAGTATGCTAATCATATGCTAAACATAACTAAACAATTTAATTAAATTTTTCAGGAGAGAGAGAGGATTTTCTAGAAATTCTCAAAAAAGTAAAATGCTTCATGCAAATATTTCATAAATTGTAATCATAAATTGGCAAAAAAAAGGCCTTAAAAGAATGTTTGAAAATTTTCAATAACGGAAAAAGATTTACTAAAAAAGAAAAAACAAACGAACGATTTTAAAAGTAAGATCCTTAGGAGGTTCGACAGGTCCAAAAACTCTCGCTTTTGACAATCTCCTTTCTTCTAACTGTAGATTTCTTCTCGTTTCTCGATAAATATTATTCCGATTAATATGATTTTCGATTCGTACAAACGATGATGATAGTGATTGAGCGCAATTTTTTAAAAAGTGCGCTCGTCGGCCACAAAAATCCAAAGTTTTCAACATTCTACAATAAATACATTATTATTTTTTAAAAATTGTAATAGTATTTAAAAAATACGTCAAAAAGATTCTCGAGAAGCAAAATTTTAGTGCACTGAAGAATAATGATAAGCGTGAAAAATTTATTAATTATTAAAACGTATAGTATTTTTGGTTGGCCTTGCATCATTGGCTTGTAGCAGACAAATAATTTTGCCAGACAATCAGTTGGCGATAAAAGTAGAGATAAAGCCAGCATCACCCGGATGATTTTTTTAAAAAATATCACCATTACTGGTCAGACTCGCTCTTCTGATTTGTCGCACTAAATAAATATATCAGGGAGTACCCTTGTCGTACAGGTGAGTTGCCAGCACTACCCGGATTTTTGGAGATTTATTCCTGTTAAAATTCCAGCATAGGCGCTCCAAACTGACCAATAACCCACTGAGCCATTCTATTCTTCTTTGTCTTTCTCGAAGAAAAGTGATGCAAATTATAATTATAAATATTATAAAAATTAAATAAACATTGTTTCTAATTCTAATTCTTATAGATCAGTACAAAAAGCTATAAAGTTTTCAATAAATTTAATGGTTAGAAATTATTCGATGATAAAATTTTGATAAATAAGATAAGATAATTAAGTAAAATCGAATATAAATTTACGAAATTCCAAAGATGGATAGAAAAAGTACGAACAGTTCACGCTCTTTCTAAATATCATGTGGACATCGCCTTCTTATCAAAAGTTCATCTTCACTTCAGGTAATCACTAATCGAGTAAGTACTAATCCCACAATAAACTCGAAATCTCAAACATAGTTAAATTAAACCATTTACCTGGATGATTGGATTCAAAAAATAAATAAAAAACGTTATACTATTTATTTATGGTACTACTTAATAGCACTATTATTAGATTTAAGGTAAATTTTTCATTTTTCACTTTTATTTTTATAAAACCAATCAAAATGACTTTCGTTATGACATTAAAGTGAAATAGATTACTGCTCTTCAGTCACCTCTCATCACAGTGACCTTATAATTCAATTTTTCGCTTACATGAAGCGCAAAAACTTAATGCATTGCGACACAGCGACCAGCCAGTAATGTTCGAAAATAGTTATAAAATACTTTGTTATACTTCATTTACTCAATAAAACAATATTCAGATTTTTAAAATTGATTTATCAAACTATTCGAACAGCATCGTTCAAATTACGGCCCACAGGGCGCGCACATCCCCATAATAATTATTATATGATTATAAACCAAAATTGTTATGATTTTCTATATAAATTTGGTACTACTTTGGCGCAGCAACATTGGTGATTCCAGCAATGGTACTAATTCGCTACTTGTAGAGTGTCGATGAACATTATTTTCAATATTATGAACTCAATAAATTTCCAAAATCAAAGTAAAATACCACTGATTTTATGTTCAAAAAATAAAAATATAAAAAAATAAAGTTTTTTTCCTTTGTTTCTTATACTTAACTGTAGTATATATCTTAGCCAAAGAGCCCTTCGCTTTTTACTCATCCTAAGGAGCCAAAGTCGGACATTCACAATCTAAATTATTATCTAAATTATTATTTAGTAGATTTTTCAATTTTAAATAATCAAAATTAAATAAATAGCAAACAACATTTTCAAATTTTGCAAGTTTTCCTGAACGCCATTAGAATAATCTTTTAATAAAATTCCTATTATTCTCGACCATTATAGGCCAGGTTAAAGTGTTGGTTATCTGAGGAATTCCACGTGATTAGATGTGATTCATTTGATAGAACGCTTTGGAGGATGATGGAATGCGACGGTGTCCCAGAAAAGATCATTCGACTCATAAAAGCATTTTATGAGCGTACATCGGAGCAGGTCTGTGTATATGAGGGAACTGACAAACTCCTTCGAAATAAAAAATGAGTCTGCCAAGGCTGCGTCCTTTTCCCTACAATTTTCAACCATACGATATACTGGGTAATGGATCAGGATCGATGTAAATAAAGCGAAAGACTTTTCGTCTTATGTGCAAGAAGCTGATAAAATGCCTCTTTTAGTAAATTCATTGCCGGTTGAGGAAGCGCCTGATTTCAAATATCTTGGATCCACTATAATACCAAATGGACAGGCGAAAGATGATATTACAACTCGGATCACGGCAGCTAGAGATACGTTCTTCCGGCTGACCTTTATGGAGTCATCGTGAAATCATCATAAAAATGAAACTCCGCATCTATATAGCCGTGATTCGTTCGATCTTGCTATATGGTTCTGAGACATGGCCAATGAGGATGGAAGGATATTAAGAAGCTATCTACCTTTGACCACTTTTATTTCAGGCATATTTTACGAGTCCGTTGAGCAGATAAAATACCACATGACCGCATCCACCTTCGTTCAAGCATTACCATTATTAACAATGTTATCAAAGAGTGTCGCCTTCGTTGGTTAGGGCACGTTCTCCGTCGTCCACCACAAGAGTTATTGAGTTATCACATTTCGCTATTTGATTAACTGTGTGATGGATAGCGTCAAAAGCGAGATGGGCCAATCAAGACCTGGACTGATACGGACAAGAAAGATTTTGAACGTATAGGTAGACCAATAATATACGGACTTAGACGATGGAAAAAGAAATGGCTTCTATCGATGGCATCAGACTGAGCCGTATGAAAGCGTCTTATCCTTGTAGCCGTTGCAGCCAGCCTAACCAGTAATGCCGAGAGGTGTTAGAAAAAGAAGAAGATTGAAATCTCCCTCTAAAAATGAGGATAAGGCTTAAATAAAAATTCAGGAAATACTCAACGTCCGATTCTTAGAGATGATCTAAAATTCAGCTTGCGGCTTTTCTCGCTTATTTATTCAAATGTTTTTATTTTATTGTTATTGTTGTTGTTATTGCGGAATTGTTGGTTGCCAGTTAGTTGGAACGAATTGCCTTTTGAGATTTTTTTCTAAATAATTTTTAATTATTTAGATATTTATGAAAATGTTCAAAAATTTGGAGGGAACTAAATTTATACAAAAAAAAAATTATTTTTTAAAACAATAAATTCAAAATAAAATTTGATAAAATGAATATAGCGAGGAGAAAAAAATCCACTCGTTTATATTCAATTTCCACAACTATCGCTTTAGGGTTCGCGAACATTAAAAGCAAAGAAAAATTGCTTTTATCATAATATTTTAAATTTCTTTACCGACAATTAATGAACATCCATAAAATTTTGCAAATTTCCATTTCCTGAAGGCATATTTAAGTGCTGTTTTTTTTCCTTCGGCCATAGTCAGCAATAAAATGACGTTATACTTTAATTTACGAAATTTTTTTTCCATCTAAAAAAATTTTATAAATTTTTTCAAAATTTTGAATTTTTTATATCGATTTCAAAATTATTTAAAAATGCAAAATGCAAAACACTGAAAATAAATTTCGATAAATTTTCATAATTTATTTCTGTAATTATTTAAAAACTATTATTAATTATTTATTTAGATTTATTCAGCTTTAATCATAATTGCAGCTGGTGCTCCTAATTTAATACCATTAATAGTAATATTAATGGCAATAATCATTTTTATGCTTCTCAAAAAATTATTGTAATTTATGGGTGCTTTGAGTAATCCTGCAAATGCAAAAAAAAGCTCCGACAAAATCTCATTTCCATTCTATTCGTGCGATTTATGGTTTCTAATAGTGCATAAATCTGCAAATATGCCAAAATAATTGTAGCAATCCTACGAGTACCAATCCAAAGCATTTCGCGGAAATTAATTAATATTAATAATAATTTGTAATAAAGTTCTGCAAAAACAACAATAATTATGATAATAATATTAATAATAATATTAAAAGTATTAACGTTGATAATAATTGCAGTAAGTGGCGAATGATTTTAAATAATTGTCATCTAGTAAAAAACAACTGAGGCAGTGAAATTCAATTTTAGAACGACTGCTTTGAAAATATTAAATTTGACAAACGTAGTCGAAAATTTGGAGATTCAAATATATTTAAAAAATTTTTTGTCAAATTGAAAAAATAAATCATTAAAATTTTTTAAAAAATCAAAGAATTAAGCAAATAATTAAAAAATTTTACTATCTTAAATTTAATTAGATTAATGAAAGCCAAATTTTTTTTTTTGTTTTTTTTAAAGAGTCCTCATCAATACTGGTTAGACTCGCTCCTCTGGCTTGTCGCATTGGACAATAAGTCAAGTAGTCCTTTGGCGATAGAAATACAGATGAGTCGCCAGCATCACCCGGATTTTTGTACAGAGTTTACTCCTGCAGCAGGAAATCGAACCTCAGCATCTCCCAATTGAGCAATTGAGCAACAACGCACTGAGCCATTCTATCTCGTTAAAGATAAAAGTGGCATATACGACATACCCAACATACTTCCATTATTCCAATTCAAATCCAAAGATTTACTAAAAGGTAAAACAATTACCATTAGAATTCAATTACTTATTTACAATATTTAAAATCTCTTAACTCCACCAAAATTAAATTTTCAAATAAAGTAAAGAAGCAAATACACCAAAATCTGATAACCCAAAACTAATCATTCTTATCAAAATAAAGTGCAACGCTTCCACAATCTCTAATCTCTTCAAAGTCAAATTCTAAAAGAACTTAAAAAGCGAAGGCCCAAAATTCTTTTAAACTGTAATCAAAAATGCCAAATACACTAAAACCCAATTAAACCAACAAAAAACAGAAAAAAACATAAACAAATCAAACACAAAAACCAAACCAACCAAAATCAAAATCACCACAACTCAAAAACATCTTCCAAAAGAGAAAACACAAATAAGAATAAACAACAGTAAAAAACAAAAATAAAATAAAATAAAAAAAAAATAAAAAAATATTTGAACAAAATATTTAATCACAAAAACTAAATCCAAAGAAAAATTCATAAAAAACAAAAACCAACTCACAACCATAACTTACCAACCAATCACTAATTGAAAATCAAATAAAAAATAAATAAATAAATAAAAAATA